CGCATCATGTAGTGAATTGTGTTCTTTGGTTCCTACCTGATCCTCAGCGTCTGTTTGTCCCGTGGTTATTATAGATCCATGGTTTATCCACGATGCTGCTGTCAGTAAGTTGTGGAACAGAGTTATCATAGATCCATGTGTGGGACAGGACACGGAGCGCACAGACAGAGTCTCCTTCGGCTTTCTCCTCACGCATTCTCTGACGCTGTTCCAATATTTAAAACAACGTGTTTGGCCTGTGTCATATGAGCTGCTGTTAATGTTGATGTTGGTTTTGCTCTAAAAAGAGCAAACGTAGGCAGAGCAGACATGCTGCACATACGAGCCCTCTGTTTTCCTCTGGTTCCGCGTCTATCCTCCGTGAGCTCTCGCTGTCCAATAGGAGCGCCGATCGTCACACGTGTCAATATGTTTATATAAAAAAGTTCACTTGCAAAAAGGACAGTCTGAATACGAACCGGAGCAAAAGAAAAAAGTTTGGTCCGCTTTTGATTCGGATCAAGCAAGCGGAGCAAAGGACTTTCCAGGTCTGAATACACCCTTAATCTTCACTTGAGTGTGTGAAAATCATAATAAAGAATAATACTTCAAAGTACAATGTTGCTGTATCTTCTAAGCTACACCAATCTTTACACAAATATGTTTTACTTGTATGTGTTCTACAAACCAAATCCAGTTAGGCAAAAATACAAGTATATTCAGCAGACCACGGTACAGGTGTAGCTTGCAGTTATACCACTGCTCCCTGTGGTATTGACAGAGCAGGTGTCCCACATTTATTTCCCTCTTACAATGTTTTGTTTACTGACAGTTTACCTATTAGCTGTGGCAGCTGGTGATTTGGGGTTTTGGGGTTAAAATGTTCAGAACAACTGAGCACAAAAACTCACAAGGAAAGACTCTACAAAAGGACTTTTACTTATTCATTCTATTCAATCTCAGAAAGTGGCATTTTAATGTAATTCTTTAGGGAGGGTGCAGATGATTTAAAATCATTCTCAATTAATTGTGTTTTAAGAGTGTAACATCACATAGAGAATATGGTTTAAACTTTATTTGTTGTCCACTGCACTTTCCTGCTGCTGAGGTCTGTGGTGCCTCAGTCTGGAGCTAAATGTCCTGCTAACACAGAGGTCTCCTTCAGGAGGAAGCCACAGGACGGACATGTGTATTCTGCGGAGTGGATGAGTGGTCAGATCCTCCACGTGTTTGAATGGGAACCATATGAGGAAGGATAGTAGCCTCCAGCTCCGTAAGCCCCTCACCCCACGCTTGCCTCCAGCTGCACTGTGTTTTTCTTGGCCTGTGTCGGCAAACAGAGGAACAGCTACTAATGTACAAATGAAATGGAGCATACTTCTCAGTCTTTCCTTTGTGCACTCTCTTCAAATGACCAAGAAACATGTGCACAGTTCATTTTGTGGGAAGCAAGATTTGTAGCTCAAATTACGGTTCGTTGACCCATTAAACCTTTCACCTCCGAAATAAAGACAAAAAAGGCATGATACAACGTGCACGGACTGTATTTTGTTTGTGGATTTTAATATAATAACATCTTGTATCGGTAGTTCGGTAGGTTCTTACAAATATTTCTTTCAGTTTCCAATCCATCAATAATTGTTCCTCAACAAACATCTGCAATACTTTTCATTTGGTGCGTATTAGGACATAATACAATGTACAAATCTAATTGCTGAAATATGATAACAATTCCGCAGAAATATTGAGAACAACATGTATCCTGTTTTCTGCTGGCACAGTATAAGCCATCACTTTCCCCAGTGTTCATAGTGTAGTGTTTATGCCGCTGAGTAACACCAGCCTCTGGTGAGTCAATGGACTCATTTATGTGCGATATAAAAGCACCTTGTGTCATGAATCTTGTGATCACCTTTATCAGTCCCCCTTCGGCTCGATGTGCTGAGGTCTCACCTCATGACTGCTCCTAGATATTCACAAGAATCAAATAATACCTGATAAAACCATATTACACTAAAATTGCTGTTTGATGCATCAAAATACAAAATATAGTATTGTATTTGATCTGAATGTTTTTTATGAGAATCAAGAGATTCAGGACTTGCATGGAAAATAAAAAAATGAAAAAAAATAAACGAAAATACGTGCTCCTTGGCACACTCATAACCCAAACTCACACACACACATAGAAAATCACTAACCCCCGTTTGACAGGGTTATTAACAATAACAAATGCTGTCTCTATTGACAATCACTACATCTCATTATACCTCAATACACTTCAGACATAGGTAGTAATGTTGCCAAAAATGCAGTATTAATGCCACTGTGGTGGCTCTGTTTTGATCACCATGGTCTGGGAGTGCTCCGAATCTTTTGTTGTTGTTGTAGTGCAGATTATGTACACAGAATACGGTATGTTTGGTGTGGCTGGCTCTGAATGTGTTAAGAGGATTTGTTGCGTTCCCATCCTCCTTCTACTTCTCTGCAGGACACATGTATCTGCCTTGGGTCTGGCCCGGTGCCGCTGGAGGTGTCGGTGAGGCTGCAGGCCCGAACACGAAACTTACTGTAATCACATGGCCATCTGTCAGTGCTCCGTACACTGCTTCCCCTCTGGCCACACCGCGCACACGAACGCCTGACCACATCACAACATGCACATTTTGTTCTCCACACGCTCTCCCAGTGAGCTTTGTCACAAAGACCTCTCGCAGGCACAGTGGCTTATGTTGTGTTACAACGACAGTGCACTGGCTGAAGCAGGAAAACATCTGTCTCTTTGATATGTTAAGCATTTCCAAATTGTCCAGTTTGATAAAGGACATGTTTTAAGTATGAATCACCCGCTGGAGTCATGTCTTTTATACATAAAGCTTGAATAACAGCTACAGAAAGGGTGTTAGATGTGTGTGGAATTATTTCCAATAATTGTTGCACATGTCTAATACAAATAATGGATTATTAAAAATGCCTCGTCACATTTTCTTCCATTTTAATTCTTTATAACATGATTTTGCATGATTAACTGCAAAAGGCCCATTTCACCGTGCGTTGATAATCTTTAAACCCTAATGCTACAGGTTAACTAAGAAAAAACACATGTGTGAATAGTATTAACATAAAAATACTCAATATTTTCAATTTACACTTGTTGTTGCCTTTTTTCTAAGACAAAGCCATACGGCAAAACCACTGCGATTATTTTGTTTTTAAAAAGATAATATACATATACAATATGCTGCAAGTGTCAAAAGAAGGCGACATCAGCTTCCCACATGTTTGCTTTTCACGTAGACTATTGTGTTGATCGTGTGGAGCCAGGTCCGGTGTGTGGCTGACACGACTCCAGTCTGACACAGAGCAGGAAGGATATCATCACCTTTGCTTGGAGTTACAATGATTCAGGCATTATTCAAGGTTGGACACTTTTGAGGAGATTGTCATAACCAAAGTGTTTAAAACCAGTCACACTTCCTGTGGGCCCTCTGCATTTTACAGATTAAAAAAACCTCTTTAACCGCTAAAAAAATCTAAATAGAATATATCAAACATTCAGAGATGAATCAAGACAAGTTAGCACGTTGCACAAATGTCCAAATAAACTATGATCCATTTAATTAGACCCAAACTTGTCTGTTCCCCATCCCACGTGTCTGTGAGCTTGGACTAGAGCCGCTGCTTTCCCACATCAAGAGGAGCCAGTTGAGGTGGCTCAGCCTTCTGTAGTGGATGCCTTCTGGAGAGGTGTTCCACTGGGAAGAGGCCCTGGGAGAAGACCCAGTACACGTTGGAGGGAGATTCCCTGAACAAACTGGAGAAGGTGTGTGGAGTAGGAAATATGGGTGTCTCCGCTTAGACTTCTGCCCCGGCGACCCCTTCGACCCTTGCCACCCGGTGATGGATAATGGGGAAGAAACTGGATGGATAGATGTGTTTGACCAGATTTACATAATGCACACGTTCTGCTGAGCAGCTCGTGTTTGTCAGCGAGTGTATTTCTTGGCACTGGTGTGATACAGGTGTCTTATGTGTCCCAGGTCCAGACATGGTGCCAGTGCTCTGTGCCCTTCTCTGCAGCTGCATTGTTTCATAAAGCCCATTGTGCTCTCCCCTCCTCTTCATGGAAACAGCTGCTGGGTCGGGCTGTCCCACAACTTTGGGCATCAAGGCTGAACCCACAGTGAAACCGACGCTCCGGACAGAAAAGTTCCTGATTTCACATGTTATCCTGGGCAGGAGATGAGACTCCCCCAGGATCCTTCTGTATGAAAGTGTCAAGAGGAAGAGTGGACCAACTGGAAACGCACAGGTCGCTTTACTTCCTGGTCCAGTGATGTGACATTTCCTCTAGTTATTCAAAGACTCCCCTTGATGAGAACCACGTTGACTCTTTTGCAATACAGTCGCTCGGTGTCTGCTGGTGAGTTTGCAGGAGGCCGTGAGCTGCCTTCAGCACAGGAAGTGACTACATTTTGACTGGCGCTGAACTTCCTGTGCACAGACTCTCCTCTACTCGTCTCAGGATGTTTACCTCCTCCTCCTCCTCGTCTCCCTGACCCACCCTTCTTCCCCCATCATGTGACTGTAGCCCTGGTTGGGTTTGCTCAGCTGTAGCTCTTGTGTTTTTGTGCTGCAGTCTGACCTGATCTCTGCAATGACAACATGGCTGACTTTGAAACTTTGTGTCCAGGGTTTTGTAGAGTGTCATTGATGTTTTTCTTGTCATGTTTTGCCATTGTTAACTATTTACATTGTTATACATCATCATGGGTTTGGGTATTACCTTAAATATCATATATGCACTATACATTACTCATTTGTGTTTGAATGAATCACTATGAACTAAAACGCCATTTGTCCAATGGGTCTAGTACACGCAAACTGTTTTTTGATTTTGTTTTCTTGACAGCAGCAGTGTATAAATACATTGAATTGAAATTGATTGTGCACATATTTTGGCTCATAAAAAATATCTGCTGGCTTTTAATATATATTCAAACTGTTTTGTTCTTGTGTAGTTCCCAGAATGTGGCTTCTTCGGCATGTACGACAAGATCCTTCTGTTTCGGCACGACCTCCAAGATGACAACATTCTGCAGCGGCTCACGTCAGCGGAGGACATCCATGAAGGCGACCTCATCGAAGTGGTGCTCTCAGGTGAGTGCAAGTGCATCTGTTGAACCTCGCCAACTACTGTCAAGCCAAGAAGGTTACTTTAGTCATTTACTCAGGCTGAAGGAGAAGTTAATATTGATTTAATTTCTGAATTTAAAATTGTTAGTTGGCATTTGTTCACATTTTATACATGGTTCACCATCACTCACACAGCAGGGTCAGGTAATGTGGATGGAGGTTAGCTGCTTGTGGCATCCGTTATTCCCACAGCAGTCTCCCATCACATTACTAACCAAGTCCTACACTGCTTAGCTTCTGCCATCTGACAAGATATGCCTAAAAGATTTCTAATTCTAACTACTGAAATGGCCCCACTAACAAATAAAGGTTCTCTTATCCTATCTGTTATGTTATTATTCATTCACTCCACACAGAGTAGGGATAAACTGCTGTAGCCACAGCTGCCCTGGGACACACTGATAGAAGCGAGGCAACCAGTATGTCCCATCAGCCCCTCTGAACACCATTAACCATTCACACACACACCACTAGGGGTGGGTGATATATATCGTAGACAATAATATCGGAAAAGTGAATTTGACAATTTGCTTTTTTGCATTATCCTCAATAAAATAAAATTAAAAAAATTATGCCCATTTGTCAAATCTGTGACTAAAAAGCCAATCACTGCTTTACTTACATTTCAGTAAATATTGAGCAATCCTTTTTGGATATGCTCTTCCCTTGTTACTTGAATTAGATTTTTTATGTTAATTGATATATGTCGGCGACAGTAGCTCAGTTGGTAGAGCAGTGGCCTTTGAGCCTGGAGGTTGTGAGTTCAATTCCCACCATGGGACCTACTCCAACTGCTCCCACTGATGTCTACTGTCGTTGTGTCCTTGGGCAAGACACTTAACCCCATGTTGCCTGAAGCCCCCGCTGAAAGACCAAGGCTGTTTCACCGCTGACGGAGCAGCCATCTTCCTGTGGACTCACCCCCTGCAGAGGATCAGCGAGGGACTGGTGCTATGAGCGTTGGGTGGCAGCTCTCATTGCCACCCCCCTGACCCAGATATGGACTATAAAGGGCTTGAGAATGAATGAATGAATGAATGAATGAATGATATATGTGTATGTTTTGTAAAGATGTGTGAAGCACTTCACAAACAAAAACTGCTATTTTGATCTACACTGTCTCTATCTACAAATGATCTTGCAAGCAAAACATTACAGATCATTTTGTGTAAAAATGATTGATTTTAAAGATATTGTGACAATATTGTTATCCGGAGTCGGGAAAAGAATATCGGGATATTTATTTTTGCCCATATCGCCCACCCCTACTCACTACCCTCATTCTAGGCAATGTGGGTGAAGTGTCTCGCCTAAGGGCTCGGCAACAGTTTGGCACTTTACAGCCGCCCCCACTGTGGCACCTGATGTTCCCAGAGGTCTCCCATCACAGTACTAACCCGGCCATGGAAGAATGGCCACAATAGATGAATTTGAATCTGTACATATTGAAACTAAAAGTATTAAAAGCTAATCCCTGATGCAGTTGCCAAGCCATTTGCTCCTCACTGTATGTTGTTGCTTATACTTTCACATCACAGTTGGATAACCCGACATTCCTCTAAAACTGCTGTTACCGACAGGTGCTTTTTGGCTTTTCTCAACACTTTCCATTTGATGCTTTGTGTGTAGCGCTAAAGAGACCCGACTGGCTTAGGCTGTTCCTCTGTAATCTGTCTCTACGAGGAGGCCCTTCTCACCACCTGCACCGCAGATCTGCCACCTCTCTCCTGGGCTGAGTGCATTGTTTATGGGATTTAGATTAGGGAGGATTCTATAGTTGGCAGGATCTAAGGATAGAGCCGGCATCAGCGTGAAGGAATGTTGATTTAAGACTGAAGAACTTCCTCTTTTTTTGTTTCTGTTTGTCTTCTGCTTTTACGTTTGGCGCTTGTTTTTCCGAGCTGCTTTTGCTCTTCCTTATCGGTACAATCCGTCTAAATCCATGGTGTTAACTTCATTTTGCTTTAACATTGGGGGGGGAAGAGAACCTTTCATTGCAGCAGAAGTATACAGGAAGGAAGCCGTTGACATATCCTGAAACACAGCAATTTCTCATTTCATTCATAAAATATAGTTCAGATTTTCACACACAGCCACACTCCGAGTACAGTAATGTGTATTTGCAAAGTTCCAGTCCATTCCCACCCAAATTAGTCAGTGGTGTTTTGTTTCTGAACCAAGCTGTTGTGGCTGTGGTGGACATACTCTGCTCATCTGTGTGTGGGACGGAGAAAGTGGCTTTTTCTTGGCTGCAGACTCAAAGCAGAAGCCTGGACTTCCTGCTGGAGGTGATGTGATTTGGACCTGCGGAGAGTAAACAGGCTGTGAGCAGTGCGGAAGGTCAGGGCACAGTGGATGAAGAGGTTTTGGCCTGTTCTTATTTTGTATTTGTTTTTTTTACAGGTTAAAACTCTCATTCTCAGCCACAGCCTTTTTTATTATACTTTATTGTACTATGAGGATTTGTATTGTGATCGGATGCCTCTTGGCCAGGACACGCTTGGAAAGGCAATGTTAAGAATCTCAATGGAATTTTCCTTGTTAGATAAAGGTTAGATTATGTATATATATGAGAACAATAGATAGATACTGTATATACGGTTTAAGTACTGTATATAATTTACCATAGATTTTGCATTTGTGGGTTTACAAAGCCTATTTTTTTTTTTTTTGATGACTCACTCGGACTCTGAACCAACATTATGAATACCCAAACGAAACCAAAAAGGCTAAGATGGATGCAGAATGGATGAGCTGATTTTGTGGTTGACTGTATTTCATGTCAGTACATAACACACCGACTCTCTCTAGTTTTTCAGAAATTCCTCTCAAATGCTCTTTTTATGGGCTTTTGGATTTAAGCTACGTACACCCACTGACATGTGATTTGTAAACGCTTTCTTCTCCTTCCAAACTAATACAAAACTGCACCCACTGCGCTCCAAGCAAGGGGATGTTGAATTAAACCTCTCAGTTCACAATAGTTAGGGTTAAGTTTGGGGTAAATGTCAGAGTTATGAGATCAGGATAAACTTGTAAATGTGATATCGGACTTTTCATTACTTTGTTCCATCAGATCGCTCGAAGTTAACATATTCTTTTTAAAATATCGGGCCATATAATCAAATCAGTTCCAATCAAAGTAGTTCTTTTAGATGTTCCTGCTTGTTTTGATGTAGCCTGGTTTCTAAACTAATCCAGTTTTAAATCTACTGTACTTCCTGCAAAAAGGGGGTATAGAAATGGCCAAGCTACAAGCCAACATGAGTTTGTACCCAGCTCTAGACTCTCGCAGTGAGCAGAATGAGCCGTGAATAGTTCAAGCGCATGTTTTGGCTCTTGTCACAAGTTTTATTCCGTAATACAATGGTTGCACTACACACACTGCCTTGTTTATTGCTTAAGCCATTGTTTTCAGAAAAACATCAGATGACAAGAGTTTTCCGCTTTGTTTTTTCCTTGTTTTTTTTTTGTCACCTGATTTGTGTCAGTCACCGGGGTTTTTGAAGGTAATTAGACCGCAAATATAACTTGAATCAACTGCACCAATGTTTGTTAATAATACTCAAAGGTGAAGCAACGATTGAAAATGTTAAAATAACTCACTAGATATCCCAGTTTATAAACGTTTAACTCAGAACACGAAGAATAATAGTAATTGGTCAATCTGTCTGCGATAACAAGTGTTTTTGATTTTTGGTCCAGTTTTGATTTAATCCAGTCATGTACTGAGTTAAATGAAAATAACAGGCTATCCTTGGTAATACTGGCGAGTGAGTACACAAAGCAAAGGAGGTAGAGAACTGCTCGTCTAAGCCTTAAACATAAAACACAGGTGCATAATAGACAGACTATGTGGCAGTATAAGGAACAAACTTCCATCAAAAGGAGGTTCTGTCGCTGCCATTGCTACTTCAGATGTGACGCCCTCTGCTGGCTTTCTTTTAGCACTACAACTCTCTTCTTTATGTTCATTTGTGATTGTTTTTATTTAACCTAATGGGACTTACTCTTTGTTTGTTTGTTTTAGCTCAAGCCACGGTCGAGGACTTCCAGATTCGGCCCCATGCCCTCTACGTGCACTCGTACAAAGCGCCCACCTTCTGTGACTACTGTGGGGAGATGCTGTGGGGTCTGGTCCGACAGGGGCTCAAATGTGAAGGTTTGTTTCAGCACGCATCTGTCCTCCTCTGTCCCCACTGACCATCCGCCGAGACGCTAACATGTGAAGAAAGGCTGTGGAACGCTGTACAGGAACATACATGAACAAAATACCAGTTTTGGCTTACTGTATAGAAATGATGATGGTGGGATAAATCATCTAGAGTAGAAAAAAATAATGCTTCTGTCAGACAAGGCAAAAGATCCTGGCTTATATCATTGTCAAATCATCAAAATAACATGAACTCATGATTTTAGTTTATCTTTCACCTTTTTTGTTTGCAAAGAAGTAACAAAGACAGTCTTTGTGATTTTCTAAATGCGTGTTTGATTGGATCAATACATGTAACCTTTTCAGTATATAGCTGTGGAGAGGCAACGCTGTTCACATGAGCAATGGAAGTAGCCTGCTTCAGTTCAATAAACACAATCAAAGAACAAACAAACAAGAAACTTCATTGTGACTTAATTCTTTAATACTGTGTCTTAAAGGCATATAGGAGGATTTTCCCAATTTTTAGGAAAGAACCACCCTCTCTGGTCTTATTTGACGAGCATGTATCACCAGAATGATTGACAATTGAGAGGAACAATGGTCTTGATGATCCACCCAGAAGTAGAAAAATCTTCCTAGTTACCTTGTATGTGTGATAAAGCAGCCCAGCTCTTTGGAGCCCTCTTGGGGTTCATGTGTTGTATTACAAATGTCTTGTATCACAGAATGAGTTTCAGTTGGCAAGACATGTTTACTTGTATACCACAATTTATACAAAAGCTTTTATTGTAATTATGGAAGGGTCAAAATGTAGACCTCTTTAGTGTCGAGCTGATTTCAATACTTCTGGGGTCAATCCACCTGAAATCAATCACAAACACTTTCTTTGTCAGTAGGCAAGGTCAGTTAAAAGGACTTAAGACATGATAATATGATTTGTGAATCTGATCACTTTCAAACAATGATCAGCAAATACACGTTGACATTTCTTTCAAAAATTGCTTATTTTCCTACCTACCTTTCCATGAATATGCAAACTATTCAATGTCTTAGGAAAAATGGATGGATTGATATAATATAATTATTCTTACATCTTTTTCATAGGATGTGGGCTGAACTACCACAAGCGTTGTGCCTTTAAGATCCCAAACAACTGTTCTGGTTTTAAGAAAAGAAGGTTATCTAACGTGTCACTGCCGGGTCCATCGCTGTCGGTCCCACGTCCTGCTCCAATAGAGAATGCTGTGGTTCTTCTGGATGAAGTAAGTTTTACCAAATTCTCTTTTCCTGTCCATCTGTATTTCATTTTGCGGCTGTAATTAATAATGATTTTGATTATCGATTAATTGCCCAATTATTGTTTTGTTTAATCGGCCGTTGTTTAGATCCGGAAAGCTCAGTGAATTTAGGATTATTTATACAAAGTAAAGCCCCTGGGGAACATCTTCATAGAGAGGGTTGTTTGATTAAAAATACTTTGTAAACACATTCTGCAGTCATCATATAATTAAACGTCTTTAAGTCTCTGTAAGGTCCAATAAGATAAATCAATTTTTTACATTTCTCTGGCAACTTTTTTCAATGACTCCTTTCAATTAGGTTGTATGAAAAATGCAATCTTTATTCCTTGATGAAAAGTGTCTTTCTCTTGCAGCAGCAGCAGCGGTCGCATCAGGAGGCTGGGAAGCGGATCCTCTCATGGAGCGGGCGGCCCATCTGGATGGAGAAGATGGTTCTGGGTCGAGTCAAAGTCCCACACACCTTTGCCATCCACACATACACACGGCCCACTATCTGCCAGTACTGTAAGAGGCTGCTCAAGGGCCTGTTCCGGCAGGGAATGCAATGTAAAGGTAGATGTCATATGTTTATTCTCTGCTTTTAGTGTCCTGCAGAATCTAAATGTGTGTTTGTGATTAGACTGTCGATTCAACTGCCATAAGAGGTGTGCTTCGAAGGTACCTAGAGACTGCCTGGGGGAGGTGGACTTCAATGGAGGTATCAACACTTTCTATCTGTTCACTATTGCATGAACAGTTTAGGTTTTAAATGGTATGATATTAAAATATTTACCCTAACCATAGTGGGGGCCTGCTCCAAACCAAATGAAACGCTGATCTGGGCAAACACATTTGACATTGATCCTTGACAGTTTATTACTTGTGTTTTGAGAATTATTTTAAAATGTTTATTCTATATTGTTTTAATCTGCAGTTGCAAAGCAACTAATCACTGCATTTTATCACTGCATATATCTTGGCACATTATGATTTTATAGTGGTAATAATACCATATAATCTTGGAACTAATGTACAGCTGATCTGTTTGTGCAGAGCCCGTTAGCCCTGGCCCAGATTCAGACTCTACAATGGACACCATGGAAGTGGACAGCTGTGACATTGACGGCAGCCGAAGTCTGGACGACCCAGAAGAACCATCCACACCAGAGGAGAGAATGTTTGATATGTATTCTCCACTTTTGGACAGAGATAAGGATGAGGAGCCAATTAAAACTATAAGGTACAGAATAAGTTCTGCATTAAAAGTAATTTATATTGATGGTTTAGTTTAGGCTCTGTTCACATTTGTCTGTTCAGACCTGCACATTTGCTCCACTTTAAACGGACCAGGATTCGTTTGGAACTTTGATCCGAAGCTTGTATGCAGGTCTGAATACACACAAACGAATCCTGGTCCGGACCAAAGAACCGAACCGAGACCCACTTTTTTAGGTGGTCTCGGTCCGCTTCCAAACGAATTCTGGTCCAAGTCAAATCAGGTGTTGATCCGACACAACTCCAAGATGCGTGCACATTTTTTGGGCTTAACAAGCGACCGTAGACAGAAACTGTGAGGAATTAGCCACGCGTCACAGCTGCTAACTATGATGCTAACGCTACACAACAACAATGAGCCGTGTGCAGACCTGGAGCAGTGAGGAGACGCTGTGCAACAGGCTTATGGAGTTAAAACTGTTCCAGTATACACTGATGTTAAAGGCAGTATCTTCAAACCATTTGCATTATTAAAAGCCTCACGTGTTTGACTCACGTCTCAAAGAGCAATATTCCAGTATCATGTAGTAAATTGTGTTCTTTGGTTCCTACCTGATCCTCAGTGTCTGATTGTCCCGTGGTTATTATAGAGCCATAGTTTATCAATGCTGCTGTCAGTAAGTTGTGGAACAGAGTTATAATTATAGATCCATGGACAGGGCACGTAGCGCAGTCTCCTTCGGCTTTCTCCTCACGCATTCGCCGACGCTGTTCTATTATTTAAAACAACGTGTTTCGCCTGTGTCTAATGAGCTGCTGTTAATGTTGAAGGTGGTTTTGCTCTAAAAAGAGCAAACATAGGCAGAGCAGACATGCAGCCGTTATTATTATAGATCCATGCATGCAGCACATACGAGCTGAATGTTTTCCTCCGGTTCCGCGTCTATCCTCCGTGAGCTCTCGCTGTCCAATAGGAGCGCCGATCGTCACACACGTCCATATGTTTATATAAAAAAGTTCACTTTCAAAAAGTACAATCTGAATACAAACCGGAGCGAAAGAAAAAAAGTTTGGTCCGCTTTTGATTCGGAGCAAGCAAGCGGAGCAAAGGACTTTTCAGGTCTGAATACACCCTTACACAACTATCAAGTGAACCATTCAACTCTGTGCTTGCCGCTACAAGAAAAGTCTACAAATGATTATTGTTTATTGTGTTTGTTTAGCCCGTCCACAAGTAGCAACATTCCTCTGATGCGTGTGGTCCAGTCCATCAAACATACCAAAAGGAGGAGCTCCACGCTGGTGAAGGAGGGCTGGATGGTACATTATACCAGCAGGGACAATCTGGTAAGAGAGAAAACACTGCAAACCAATGCTGCAGAAAAGATGGAGACTATGACACCACTTTTTCCACTGCACAATACAATTCATCCTGCTCGCCTTTTTGAAATGATATTGGACTTAATCTTCTCTCAAATAAAGTGGCAGAGAAGTGGAGGAGTGTCTGTCAGCTGTTGGGACAGACGGCATCTATCTCTCCTCACTCTGGGTCTTTGACTGTCACTGTTATTGGCTTCAGTATTATACACCGTATAATATGTTTGGCAATGAAACAAACATTTTTCCTGCCAGTAAACTTTTAGAGTAACCAGTTTCCTCTTTCAACAGCGGAAGCGACATTTCTGGCGGCTAGACTGCAAGAGTTTGACCCTCTACCAGAACGAGACTGGAGCCAAGTTCTATAAAGTAAGCATGGCACTACATTACATGGGCGTTTCCATTATAATGATTCATCATCTGTGAGTGAGTATTGTGAATAGTATGGACTGGGATCAACACAATCGCAAATGATTCAAAATAAGAGATCCTTTATTCGTCCCACAGCGGTGAAATTTCAAAGTCCCAGAACAGTAAGAATGAGGAGCACGCAGGACAAAATAAGTGAACAATAACTATACTATATAATAATAAAACAAAATCGCACCAAAGAAACAAGTATAACATCTCTATGTTTAACATAGTAAAGAGAAATGTAAAATGTATCAAAGTTAATGCCTCAAATTTCCTGTGATTTCAACTTTTGTGCAGCTGTCTTGAAAAGGGACCTCTCTGTGGGCTTTATGTCATTAAAAGGGTGATCCTGAATCTTACATATGTAACATGGCCACTTCTAGACCGTAGTTAAAGCTTTTACATTTGACTTCACCATTTCATAGTTTCTTAGAAGCTGTATATTGTTGTAGTCATTGTTCTGAAGGCCCTGTATTAATGTCCGTGGTGCCTATGACTGATTGTAGAGTAATGACACAGTGATGACACACTGGAAAGAGAGCATAGACTTTATATAGATGGAACATGCTCGTCACCTCGCTCAATGAAGTCCAGGGAAGTGCCCATGGACAAAGTTTTGCTCCAATTCGCTCTGGCTTAAATTGATTTATATTGAAAAGTAGACTCCAGGTTCGGTAGTCGTTTATGTCACATTCACCAATTTGGGATTTGAAAATTTGGTTTAGCGCTCTGGTGTTTATGTTTTGTCTTTGTAAATCCAGATTTTGAGCCATATAAGGGTTGAACAATCAGATGCCTTCATTCTAGGGGGAAAGTCCAGCTAGCTTTAGATACTATCTTAACATCGTACCGGCCCCTGTTACGCCGCAAAGCTAACGCCATTGACAAACCCTATGGCAGGGGTCTGCAACTCAAGAGGTTCTTAGAGCCATATTTGACACAAAAAACTAAAAACATCTGTCTGGTGCCGCAAAAAAATAACAGCCTTGTATAAGGCTTATATGAAGGTAACACAGGCTGAAGCTGTATTAGCTATATTAGCCTAACATCTAAATGACAAAGTAAAGGCTACAAATACATAATAAGCATTCATGATTATCAAATGTGTATTTTCATTGCAGCGTGTCCTGGAGAGAATGACGCACCATGTGACAACTCTTTAAGTTTAACTTCCATTTTTTTGCCTTCATGCAATTGTAGAAATACAGTAAATAAATCTGCTTTTTGGCTCAGCGTTCACCTGCATCACATCACAGGCTGAAGTTTGCTGAATTAATGTCCTTAATGGCCAATTCTTTCACCGTCTTTGCAAAGGTTTTTGAGGTCTGGAAATAGGTACTCTGAATTTTGGATGAATGAATCCTTCCATGAACGGTGTTTTGCGCTTCATTGTTTCTCGTGTTGCAACAAAACTTCTCTTTACGACGCAAACATGAAGCAGTCCTTCCTCATTGACTGAGAGCAAATGTTCATTCTTATTCTTAGTTCAGTCTTATTATTGACTCTTTCTCTTTTTAGCTTTGGGATCCATGCACACACGCCGGTTTGTTTACCATAGCAGCCGCCTGGCGCGGGCCGTGTCACAGGATATGACGCATTACGTTGACAGAAATGTTGAAATTGAATATTACTTATGCACATTTTACAGCATTTAAAAATGTTTATGTTTTTCCTCCTACAGAAACAACATTCAAACTAGAAATAAAATGTAGCCCTCTCACTCGAGGAGCCACTCGAGGAGCCACTCGAGGAGCACTAAAAGAGCCGCGGGTTGCCAACTGAATACATGTTCTCTGTATTAGAAACAAGTCGGGCAGGAATGTGTTCAATTTTCAACATAAAGCACAGAGATTGACAAAGTCCCGTGACGGCCTCTAGTTTATAGTGCTTGCTTTGATTGAAAGAAAAAACAAAAATTCAACCAAATCATCCATTTTCAAGCAAAAGAAATAGCATATTGGACCGATCGTTTGTTAGCAACTCAGGAATAAATTCAGGCTCACTCTCGCCCCCATTAGACACTACCAGCCTCAGGGCAAGCTTTTCTTTTGTGTATTTTTCTATGATCAAAGACTAAATATAAATAGTCTATATATACGTGGATGAGGCTCTGCCTCCCCTGACTGCACGTCTTGGTGTCTACGGCTGTGTATTTGTCTGAAAGGATAGTTCATTCCTTGCCCCTATTCACAATTTTGAAACAATTGTACTGAGATAACTTACAGTAAGTCTTTATGCATACAAAAAAGGATTGCAGATATAATCTATTCAGTACATTGTGTATTGAAGGATGCTTCCAATAAGTTTACATAATAAGTCTTTTCACTACATGCACAAGCCCCCAGCATCTGGGAAGACTTCTGTTTGGAGCTTCCTTTTATTTGAGTGAAGGGACTTTTCATCAGTGTGTGGCTACTGTCCCCTCTTCCCTTTTCTTTCTCTTTATCTTTCTATCTGATTAGCGTGGTCTTGTGGTGCCTTGCTTGCCAGGCATGGCAACCATTTTCACCATTTGGAAACCATAAAGCCTGTTTGAAGATGAGACCCCTGTACTTGTGGCTTTCTCTGAAGAGCCTTTATGGGGTGAGGGGCTTCTGTGTGTCAGTCGTGTCGTACTCCAGTGTGCACCACACACTCCCCCACACTGTGGTGAAACAGTAGATACAGGCCCTTTGGACTTCAATGGCTGGTGGTAGCGCCAGAGGCTGGTGCTCATAGGGGGCCCTGGTTGCCTGCCTTATAATCAGGGAAGTGGAGGACTCGTGCCGCCGCAGCGCCCTCTCACGTGACCCAGGCGCACTCACCACAAGCACTTCATGCGATACTCTGTGGTCAGCCGCATGGAGGCTGCAGCGTGTGCCTCCTTCAGCCCCCATTGGCTCAAACCTTTTCTACTTATTACGACCCTCCCTCTTTGCTTTGATTTGACAGCAAGTTTGAAGAGGAAAGGGGACTTTTCAAGTGTAAGCCAACTGTCCTCTGTTGGTGCTGCAATGGGTAGATTTAAGTTTGCACTTGGACTAGAGAGTTCTTTTTGATAACGGCTCTTCGGAGAAGGACTTCACCAGTGTGTATATGTTTGTGGATTCTCTGAGGATCTTTTTGAAGTAAGAAAAGTGTTTAGTTTGCTTCATTTATGTTCTCATTCAGACACTGTAGGTCATTGTGTGGGTGTGTTTGTGTGTATGTGTGTGTGTGGTTGTTGTTTCTTTGTAGACTGCAAATAGACTGTTTATACTATAATTCTATTTTATTTTCACACAGGAAATCCCACTGTCTGAGATCCTCCAGGTTGAACCACCCAGGGATTATCGTAACCTGGCACAGGGCAGCAACGCACACTGCTTTGAGATCATCACAGCAACCATGGTGTACTATGTAGGGGAGAACAATGGCGGTCACTACCACAGCCCAGCTCTGGCTGCCTCAGGAGTGGGTCTGGATGTGGCACAGGGCTGGGAGAAGGCCATCAGACAGGCCCTGATGCCAGTCACCCCTCAGCCCAGTGTGGCCTGTGGAACCAGACAGGGCAAAGATCACAGTAAGTTCACGTTTGAATTACAATAAGTTTATGATCAATATAATCTTGTTAAGCATGTTGGTAATGATACTTTCAAAGTATCATTCCTTCTTAGGAAATAGTCATTTTTTTTCCTTCTTCTGTCTCAATGACTGTGTTGACATGCACTACGAGAGTCTGTGGCTGTTCAATTAAAATGAAAGGGATTTCATACATTGTTTAGTCACACTTATTTCTCCAGATCAATTTTATATGCGTTGAGTAATAAAATGCTTCGCTGTGCTGTGACTTACTGCCTCCAGCTGCACAAACATAAAAAGTAAAATGTCCTGAAAAAGGGTCACGGTTAATTCTGTGGTATGGGTCAAATTGAAGTTGTTAAATGTGGAAACATTTGTTTCTTCTGCAGAAGAGCTGTCCATCAGCATATCTGTGTCCAACTGCCAGATCCAGGAGAATGTGGTGAGACTTTTTTAAACTCTTGCACAATTTCCCGGCAGCACTGGCTGCAGCCTTTACAGTAGACTGCAGCTTCTGCGGCGGAGTGTTGTGCACAGAGTCTGTTTGTTTTTCATTTCATGCTTTCTTGTTGACATAAATGAGTTTATTGACCAGCCCTTTAGGGTTTTTTTTTCTTCACTTTTAGATAATAACTACTGAATTTAAGTATTCTATATACACTATGATTGATCGCTCTAAAAAACAGTAAAACATTCCATATTGCGTTAAAATAGTATTTAGTCAGGACATATGTAAAAGAATAGCAGAAATGTGTCTTTCTACATACTTTCTTATATATGTTGTTTTCTGTTACAGGATATTGCTTCAATCTATCAAATATTCTCAGATGAAGTGCTGGGATCAGGACAGTTTGGCATCGTTTACGGAGGTAAACAGGCAAAACCAAACACTAATGATTTTGTTTATATCAAACTAACGCAACCACATTTTGGTTTTTTGTTTTACTAAATGTTGATAAACCTAATATTCTGAAGGCAAACATCGGAAGACTGGCAGAGATGTGGCAATAAAAGTCATCGACAAGATGAGATTTCCCACGAAGCAGGAGAGCCAGCTGAGAAACGAGGTGGCCATTTTACAGGTAGAGCTGGAACTGAAAGGAATAGTCAGAAACTAGTCAGACAAATATGAATTATGTGAAATATTTTTGTTCAGAACCTGCATCATCCTGGAATTGTGAACTTGGAGTGCATGTTCGAGACTCCGGAGAGAGTTTTTGTGGTCATGGAGAAGCTGCACGGAGACATGCTGGAGATGATTCTGTCCAGTGAGAAGAGCAAACTCCCCGAACGCATCACCAAGTTCCTCGTCACACAGGTCAGACGTGAGCCATTGTTTTCCCATCGCATTATGATTTTGCTAATATTGGAGCAGAAATTGTGACATTCATATTTTTTTGCCCACTGTACGTATAGTATACACATACGCATAGATCAATACATATACATGAGTAATTACAAGCGCCAGTATTTTCAATTCGTTTAAATTTTATTAAATTTTTTACTTCAACTTTCATATATTTAAGTTAGATGTGAATTATGATTGGTAAAAAGGTTTTCTCTGTCCCTGGCTCAGCTCTTTCTTCTAAACCAGGAGACTTCCTTTTCAGCCCCTCACACAGTAACTTGAATGCAGCCTACATGTAAATAACTGAGATTGAGAAAATTTGTGTTGCACAATTTTGGCAAAATATCAAATTTAAAATTGTGTGTGAAAACTTCAAGAGAGTATGTTTTTTTTTCAAGCAGAAATAAAAGATTTACTGAAAAAATACATATAAACTCTTCACTTGAAACGAGAAGAGGCGATTGAATGATGTCGAGTGGCATTTATATTTGGTGCCGACTTCGCAACATCACTGCCAGCCACTCTGGCGTAATGTTTAGAGCCTCTGTGAAAACCCGAGGGGGCATTTCCCATAGTTACTCATCTTTCATACCAGTCAGAGTACCTACTGTTTCACAAATTTCTACTTGTAAAACTGTACACAACTCATGCCCATCAGTTTCGGCTTATGTAATTTATGAAACAAATGAGATGTTCTACTTGGCAAAATATAGATATTTTTTGGCTTGTCTTTAGACCCAATTTTTTTGGCTAAATTAATTAAATCATTGCAGTTCTTGAGATTTGCTAAACGCGACCACGGAAATCGTAAAATCAATTGCGATTAATTGTGCAGCCCTGAATTTTTACTGACTGACTGATTTCTGGTGATTGTTTTTTTTACATATTCCTGGCACAGACTTTGGCACATGGTGTTTTGCCTTCGCTTCAGACGCTGTTTATTCCTGCGGTTATCGAGCAGAATTGTTTACAGGGATGGTCTGGCATCACAGACTCCTCCCTGTAGTGGATTAGAGCCTGCAGTGTGCTAGTGGCTTTGTGGCCTCATGGAGCGGGCACCGGGCCTTTGCCGTCGCAGACGGTAGTGGGCCATTAAGGACAGCTCCATTAGCCGCTCCAGGCTCGGGTCTGATGTGGCCTGGAGGTCCTCTGTCAAAGTCAGGGTCAGGATAGAGCCAGCCGCACTGAGGTTTGGCGCGCTGTTACTCACCAGACTTCTTTAATATAAATGAAATGATGAGAGGAGAGCCTCGATGTATGTGGAATAAGATGGAACAATTGTTTTTATTTTTTCTGTTATTTACCGAGAACTAAAACAAGTCAGATAACTAATGTAACCACTTAAACCTTGAGGACCTAACTTGAAACCAGAAAAAAATGACGATGTAATATGAGCAATGTAACTTGTTCCGCTCTTAAATATTTCTCACAGGTTTTCACAACTAAATATATAGTCTCTGTCACATCTTGACAAAGTCTAAATGTATCAGCTTTCAAGATGTAAAAGGTTTTGTAACAAGGTGAAGCATGTTGCTAACATTTGGCAAAATGTATCTTACTTTGGGCACATTTTGACTGCCTTGATACCATAATTGCCAATAGGACAAGCAAAATGATCTTGTCTGAGGATATGGCTTATCCCATTGTCAAATCGTGTTTTTCGGCAGTCAGAATGAACTCAAATTAAGATTAATGATGATTTAAGCATTTATTACAGTGCATTTTATCATTTTTTGCAGTGTATCCTTATTACAAACTCGTTTCCCCATCTCTGCAGATTCTTGTGGCTTTGAGACACCTGCACTTCAAAAACATTGTTCACTGTGACCTAAAGCCAGAAAACGTACTACTAGCCTCAGCGGAGCCCTTTCCTCAGGTAAACGGCGTGATGCTAACCGTGTCCGCCCAAACGCAGACGGTCCAAACGTGTGCTGACCACCGTCTCTGTCCCCTCGCAGGTGAAGCTGTGTGATTTTGGATTCGCCCGTATCATTGGAGAGAAGTCTTTCCGGCGCTCTGTCGTGGGCACCCCTGCGTACCTGGCTCCGGAGGTCCTGCGCAGCAAAGGCTATAACCGCTCCCTGGACATGTGGTCGGTGGGGGTCATCGTGTACGTGAGCCTGAGTGGGACATTTCCTTTCAACGAGGACGAGGACATAAATGACCAGATACAAAACGCTGCCTTTATGTACCCGCCTGCTCCCTGGAAGGACATCTCCACGGACGGTAAGAAGAGTTTCATTCACTAGTGCACTGGGAATATACATTTGACCACATTAAAACAGTTACACGCATTAAATATAAATCGACTCACAGAATTTACGAAAGAGTATATTAGAGGGTGCTGTTATCTTATTGGTTGGTTCTAGGGGCCCCTCAGAGGCCTTGGGTAACTTCAGGGCAGCATCCTGATGTTACTTAAACACAACAAACAGACATTTTGTTATATAACTGGTTATATTTATATTTCTGCATGGTTACAATTAAAAAGCAAAACATTTCTCATGGGTCTACTTTAAAAAAAAGTAAAAAAAGAAAAAAAAAAAAACCCATCTGATTCAGAATATTTATGTTCATTCAATACATGGCATAGGAAAATCTAAAATACACAGTGATAACACAATACACACAAATACAAAGTATATAGTAATATTAGGGCCGGGACTTTAACGCGTTAATTACGATTTAATTAACGCCACAAAATTAGCGCGTTAAAAAAAATTGACACATTTTATATCTTATGTGTTTTTGCACCGCGGAACTTTTGTCACTGGGTGAGTTTCAGATGGACCGTTTATACTGATGCATCAATTTGAACTCTGTGCATGTCTCCATAACTTTCATGATTAAAAGAAGTGTGACAATTCAGTCAAGTAAGTCACAGGAGAGAGATTATCTTTGCTCTTCTCATGCCACATTTACAGTAAGACCTTGAGATGACAGTTTGTAAACACATTTTTACGTGCATGGTACACTGAAAACCTAGGACCCTATCAATTGACATGGTGAGCTCAGTCATGGTGCAAACACTAAACAGTCAACAGACTTGGATTGAGTGGATTATTTTAGCTGATCTAACCTTAAGCATTAAAAAAGAAGCAAGTGACAAATGGAGTACCTCACTGAAAAAGTTATGTGCACCCCTGATTATAATAACGGCGTGAACGGAGAAGGAGGAGGCGGAGTAGGAGCAGCCCTTAATCAATGGTAAACTAAAGATCCATGTGAAAAAATTACTTCTCACTGTTCTCAGGTCAAATATTTATATGCGATTGAAATGCGATTAATCGAGATTAATTAATTACAAAGCCTCTAATTAATTAGATTCATTCTTTTAATCGCGTCCCGGCCCTAAGTAATAATTAATGGTTGTTATGACAATCAAACATGCATATTGAATAAAGTTATGATTCCAAATCTCTGAACAGTACAGAAGTAACGGGTCGGTCATAAACATGAAGGTCTCATCTGATGAAATGTTTGTACAATTCTCAGCTACCGATTTGATCAACAATCTCCTACAAGTGAAGATGAGAAAGCGATACAGTGTGGACAAGTGTCTCAGTCACCCATGGTTACAGGTGAGTTTGTCTTTTGTAACAGTATGTACAGTATACACACGTGGCCAGTGATAAACACGGTACCATCGTCTGCAGGACTATCAAACCTGGCTGGACCTGCGCGAGTTCGAGACGCGGCGAGGAGAGCGCTACATCACCCACGAGAGCGACGACGCCCGCTGGGAGGAGTACGCCGACGAGAACTGCCTCCTCTACCCCAAACACTTCATCATGGCTCCCAACCTGGACGACATGGAGGAGGACCCCTAGGCCACACGGAGCTCCAGGGCAAAGACTTTCCAAACACTCGCCAGCAGCAGCAGCAGTAGCAGAGAGGAGTTCCCCTTCGCCACTCCGAGAAATTACGGTCGCGGAAATGGTTTTAAAATAGGGCGAGGAAGTACCAAGAACCACACGACAATCACAGAATTATCTATATCAGGAAATGTGGGGAGGAAGTGTCCCGCACGTTTGCAGAAACTCTCAACGTCAGCTTTTATCCACTGAAATCATTCCGTTTGTGTTATGTTTAACTGGTTGTGAAGAAAAGTCACGATCCTCTTTTGATTATGCATAAAACCCACACCGTACAAATCAATGTGACAAACCAGAGATCTTACCTGCAAGCGGAGTTAAGGGCACCAGTCACAAGGGATCCACAGTGTGTCCATTTCATTCGTTGTCTAAAACTGGAACATATTTTTGTGAGGGTTATTTTCCATTGTGTTTGCGCCTGCGCTGCCTTGAAATGAACACGGCAAAGGGACAGAACAGAACACGCTGCTACACTTCTCGGACATCCAGGTTGGTCCTCGACTCGGAAGGACGGAGTCTGGCACACGGCCATCGGTGGCTCCTAACGGTCTTCACAAAGTTTCAATGAAAAACGTGTCACTTTTCTATGTATTTTTATGATGTCTTGTTTAAATTAACATTGTGAGTTTTCTTCTTTCAAAACAATTCTTGAATGCAATAATGCAGCCGAAAAACTGCAACACCCGAAAACCAGCAACGTTGGTGGACTCTTGTTGCCTCTGCCGTCTTAAATGTGTATTTCTTGTCTCTCTTTGTCACAAACCATTCCTTTTGTAAGTTATTGTATTTGGTGTTTTTATGTTTGCTTTTATATGAATCGAGACTATGACAGTTCGGCACAGAGGTTGGGAGTACATTCCAATTTTTTATTTCTTCCCAGCTTCAGTCTTATGTTGCCGCTGGATTGGCAGGTGTCAGTTTATTTTGTATATTTCAGATACCGATGAAATAAAATCTCTTAAATGTACATGTGTCTCAATATAATACCAATATGTATAATTTCCAAATGACCTAATTATTTTGACCTGTTATTTCATCACTGCCTAAAGGCCAAGTGTTCTGGGCATCAAGATTCAAGAATTTATTTGCCATTTGCAGTAAAACCACATTGGAAACATTTTGCAAGACAGTGTGCAGCACCAACAGCCAATACATCCGACACAATATCTAAAATTAATATTAATCATATTTTTGTGGAAAATAAATGTTCAAAACCAGGCATATACTAGGACTTTGTTAGACTTAAAAAAAAAATCTAGTTTTAAAGGGGATGTGAGCAAATTCTATTGAACTTTAAAATAAGGTTTTTCAACTAGGGGAATCTACTTTTTTGTAAAGTATTTTACAGGGTCCAACTTATTGAATAATGGCTTCATTCATTCAGTCATATTTTTCGACAATTCTATACAAATGTATTTCAAATAGCTCCTCCATTTGACATAACTTTGACCAGTAGGATTTGTTGAAGGGGAATAGTTTAACCAATGACGAGGGACCTCAAGAATTTATTTTGACCAATCAGGAGGCAACAGAGGTGAGCGTGGGTAAATCTAACCAGAGGTAATCTTCATACAGGCAAAAATGTATTTTTTTTTAGACTGGTAAATTCTATCTATGGATTTTTTAACGAGGCCTGCTTTAGCTAGTGTCCATAGAAATGTGTAAGTGTGTGCGTGTGTGTGGTTTCAAACGTCAGCCTCAGATCCATGATGGAGCACGCACACGGAGCAGTTTAAGTCGGCCCGTCGCTCACCGCAACAGGCTAATGACATACTTCAACTAGAGAGCGCGGCGATGTCGGACTACACCCTAAATATCCAGATAACTGGCTGATCTGGAAACGTTGTAGTGGCCTAATGAAGTTTGTGTTATACTCCTCAACAGATCTTCAAAAATCAATTATGAGATCTTAAAACCATATCGTACTTACTCTGGAGAGGGCAGACAGATGGGATGGTCACATTGATGAAATGGAAGGGTAATCCCAAACCACTGTGAGTCATTAAGAGTCACCGCCAACTGTCTGAGAAGAATGTTGCAATATGTATTTCCTTCTGAACTCTAATGATAAGTTTGAAATTAAATACAGATGTGATTTTTTTGGCCATATTTTGGAGATCGCGAATCAAAACGCAAAACCTTTGTGGTTGAGTGAAGCCATTTATAGTCAAAGAAATGTGTTTCCTATTTTCAAAGTATAACAGAATTGAGCCAGAAGTGAGAGATGTCCAGTGTGTCGTTCATCCGAGGCAGCCTCGGAATTTACGAGCATAAATAGCTGAGCAGCTTTATCATCAGAGTTGGAACAGGGTCTTTCTGAGTGGAGTTTGCAGTTTCCTCCAGGTGCTCTGGTTTCCCCTCCCACTAAAGACATGGATGGTGTTGGTGAGGGGCCTTAATGCACCAGTGTGTTCAAGTGTTCAAGGTCTGGAGTGAATATTAATAATAACGCATTGGTTGCGTTATATAACTTTTTTTTTGGACAAAAAAAAGGGGTGTCACCCACATTGCCCTAGAACGATAGTTTAGCACTTTACAGCTGCAGGCGCCCCACTGTGGCACCTGGTGTTCCCAAAGGTCTCCCATCACAGCACTTACCAGGACCTGCCCTGTACAATTTCAGAGGTCTGACAAAATATGACTTTTGCATTCAAGACCACAACAGAACAAAATTTGGACGTTGAACATTGTATAGCGCTTTGGGTGACCTTGCTCTGTAAAATGCGCTATATAAATCAAGAATACTTACTTACTTGTCGATGTTAAAAGGGAAACACATGCTATTGAGAAGTTTGTGTTGTGAAGAAGATAACATAGTCTGGGATCGCGTCTTTAATTCAAACAGAAGACATGTTTTATTGTCGATAGTAGAGACAGCACGAACAACACGAACAACAGAATGCAAGTGTATTATACAGAGCGGAGGCATGGAGACCTCCAATCAGCAGCTGCCACAGTGCCATGTAGCTTGGCCTTCAGATAGACAAAACAAGGGAAAAGTACTGGCTTCTGCACATTGATAGAATGATGAGTTTAACTTTAACAAAAGTTGCTTGAAAGTGTTATGAAATCTCACAGTTGTTATTATTATGTGATAATTAAATGTTTATATTACAATATACAATGGCTTCACACAACCTCTGACAGTGAGTGGGAAAAACGTTAGTCTCATTACTCATGATTTACAAATTATCATTTTTCTGCCTTGGTGTAAACAGCACATCAGTCTATAATTACAATCAGCCAAATAATATTATGAATTCATAATAACACAATAAAAAACAGAAGCACAGAATTTGTCATTGGAAATTCCTTGAGAAAGAGGAATAACGCGGTTGACGCAATGTGTTTCTGAGTTATGTTGAGGAGCATTTTATCTTTGTTTTCCCATACAGTTTCTTCTGCTATAGTTAGTAAATCAAAGTAAAAACATACTTTTAAACATGCAACAATAACTGCCAATGTAGTAGACAATACACAAAGCATCAAAGCCTGTTTTTTCTTTCTTTGAAGAATAGACAGTTCCCAGTCTGTCCAGAAGGTGTCACTCTATGAACAAAATCAAGCATGGAGTTTCTAAAAGCTTATGGAGGTATAAGCCTTCTACAAAATGCCAATATTTTACAATCCTCTTTGATAGTTGAAATGTGAACTTACAATCCAACACATGTTTCATAAATGTACCACTACATATGACAAAGACAATCTATTCTGTATGTTAATGGGATTGGGATTTGCGTCTGAAAAAACACAATGATATGTCTGTGTATGCCTAATCCCGTTGTTAGTGTGTATTTGTGGAGCTGCCTTCCCTTGGTCTCTCCTCAGCAGGCCTCTCGTCAGCCCATGGGGGAGGTCTGTGTGTCCTTCTAAGCTTCCTCACCCATATCCGTGTCTCTCTTCTCTCCGTGCCTGGGGTGTCCATGGGCCACAGACCAAACAAGCAAACGGGACAACAGAAAAGCCCATCACCCCGAACAAGCTCTGGTCCGGGAGGAGAGAGAGTGATCTTGTTTGTCTTCAGGTTCCATTTCAGAGCCTCCCCAATACAACAACAAAAAAAGCAATACTCACGTGTTTGAATTTACAGAAGAGAGAAGAGGAGGGGGGGTGGGGGTGTGGTGGTGGTGGTGGTGATCGAGGGGGTCTGCTCCCGATCAGACAGTGCTGACGCATCAGTTCTGGGCCCCTGGATGCCTGCAGTGGGGTCTAGCCTTTACCTAAGATGGCCTGGTCGTCATCTTTAGCCTTTGGGAGGAAACGAGCCGGTCTGGCATTCTGCTGCTGGCCTTTGGATTGGTCAACATGGTCTGTGATAGGAAAGATAGAGAAAAGTATATTGTGATACGTGTTTAGAAGTTGTAAAATATGAGTACCGCTGTTTAAAGGTTATTGGATTCAAAATCATTGAAACAGATAGACTGTGACTTTGTCCTTGAGAAAGAAAAAGTGTGTATTCTAAATCACACAGATCAGTGTTTGACTTGGAGGAGTCCACGGCAGCAGCCTTCATGGATGCAGACGTGTGTGTATTGGGGACCTGAAATGGGCCGCCACATCACACTAAACTGCTACAAAAGCCCATTGTTGGATACATTTGTCATTTACCAAAAAATAAATGGTAATTAATTAACAATTAATGGGGACAAATAAACATAAACCAGCTGCATTTTCTCCAAACGTGATTTGTGGAAAGACAAATGGCTGATGTAAATAAACAGCCAAGAAGCCAGGAATATATAGTGCAATTCTATAGCTGACAGAATTTGTAATTATTTTTAAACTGATAATTATTTAAAGTGTTAAAAAAAATGTAGGCTAAAGTAACACATTTTAATGCATAAGTAAATTGGCATCTCACTTTATCAATCATGAATTTACAATTTGACAATTAGGCGTCAAAACTCTGCCATGATCCTAGTTATCTGATATTGATTAATAAAGTGTTTGTGTGTGTATTCCTTCATTGCGTATTAGGAAGCCCTAAAACACACACGACTTGCATGTGTGGTAATCTGTGAGCTTAGAGCTGTGGCCTGCCTGACAGGAAACGCTCTCGATCAGAGATATGGAGATGAGCTGAAGGTGTGTTTGATTTGCTGACTCCAGCTGTGCCTGCAGGATTCTCCAGAGCTGGGGCTCAGGTCCCGCTTCTGCCTGCGTGAGACCACATGTGCGCCCCTGTCCCAGAGCAGGAAGGCACAATACACAACCCCCCCCCCATTCACTGCTACAGCTATTCAACTCTCAAGCAAGTGGCAATATTTGCTCACCTGAAACACACACATCTTGCCAATTGGGGTCGGGGTCGGCCAGGGACTAGCGGGGAAGGACCCTCGCAAGCAGCTGTGGCCCAGAAGACACACTGCAGACTGGGGAAGTTTTGTGGCCCTGGAAGAAGGGGTGGGGGCCACTCTTGGCGGGGAGCTGTTTCGCACTGGCCGCCCCATTGTGCCTTAAAGGAGGCTGGGACTGTATTTGTCAGAAGCTGCAGGAGGCTGATGAGGTGATAATCTGTTGAGTGCCTGTGTCATTGGCTCCCCTGTTCCCAATAGCCTGTTAGCTGTCACTGCCTGTAAAAAGGCACAATTTACGGGCCTGGAGCCGGAGTTAGCCACCGGTGTGTCCGCGGGTAAGCAAACACAGATTGGACACTTATGTTGTAGAGCTGGGGCAGGCTTTAGCAGCGGGTGACACGTAGGCAGCAGTCCTTCCAGCCTCTCGCTCCCTCTGTGCTGCTCTGTCAACACTACAAATTAGTCATCTGCATATGGATGGGCTCAGGTCCATACAGGAAGCAGACAACACACGATATAGGCGCTCCTCTAATATCCCCCTGGTATAAACCCCACTATCAGCTTTTAATTTCTACCCCATGCATAGCAAATGAAGCCAGCATTTAGTCCTGTGGAAAAAGTTGTCACGTGAGGCTTTCGAGACAAACTAAAGGATAATGAGATGATGGGTTCAGGTCATCCGTCAAGAGGTAATCCCAAACTTGAATTTACCCATCAGCCCCGGCATGCTGATAAGAGGGCAGAGGAGATATGAGCCCCACTGACTCTCTGATGGAAAAAGGAAATGGAACAAAAGCCTCTCTCAGATAGAGCCAAGATGAAGGCCGGTGTGTGCAAGGTTTGTCAAGAGCTTTTCACACATGGCTGACGCAGGAAATGGAGGAATTGGGCTCAATTGTGGAAAAAAAAGACCAAATACTGGAAAAGAACATTTTTGGTTTATAGTAATCACAATTGGATCACTGACAATGTAAAGTGAGTGAATATGGAACTAGTCTGCCCTGTTGGCATTTTAACCCTTGGCCAGAGGTAATAAAGCGTTTAAATAACTGCCCTTTTTGAGTGCCTCTGTCATCTCCATTTTTATTATTTTCATTTGTCCCGATGTGTGCACTTAGGAACACTTCCAGGACACATCCAAGTAGCACTCTGCGATCAGTAAAGTCTGTTATCTGATCTTATCATTCACTGTTATGGAATGTCATGTTTTTTTTTCTCCAAAAGCTGTAGACGGGTTTCGGTTATTAGGGCCAGGGACAGTACAAATTCATATTAGAATTTTTTTGTAATTAGTTTTTAATAGTATAGATCTGCTCGTTTCATTTTAGTGATATTATTGGACTGGACTTGTGTCGGGTTTAACCAAAATAACAAATATTAAAATCTTTCCCTTTTATTTCGTAATCTAACTTTCAAACAAATTTAAATTACCGAAAGGGGTTCATTTTTGTTCATTTGGTTAAACCGGACCTTTTTCCCTCCGGAGAGCTACTTTTTTTTTTTTTTTTTTTTAAACAAAACTTCAATATCCAAAAAAGAAGAAAAAAGGTTAAAACAGGTTAAAAGATAAGGGCTTTTGTTCTGGTATCCATCAAACAATCTATTATTATTCATCAGTGAACACAATGAAAATGACATTTTACAATAGTTGCAGGAAATTGAATCATAAAGTGTGTAAAATATTTAGCATATTATGTGTAATTTATGAATCCTTAGAGATACTCGTGGCTCCTGAACTACAGGATGGAGACTGAATTTCTAAACGTGCTAGCCTATTAAACATTGCTACATTCTGCTACATTGTTATAAGAACTGAATGTGTTTGTTCTGACCCACATTGTTACTACAGAGTCTATATCTTAAGCATGTGATTTATATTATATAGAAATTGAGGTTAAAGCTGCTCCCATCATCAGAGCAGAAAGCACAAGCCAGTGAATTTCCACTTGATCTTTTGGTTATCTGAAGGCTGAAGTTACCGTAGCGCCGCGGCAGGTGCTGATTGGAGCATTTCTCCATGCTTTAAAATCACATGCAAGCTGCAGAACTCTGTCTTTGTAACATCAGTAAAACATCTTCAGCTGGACACGACCCCAGTCTCTGTTCTTATCCACGTCGATACGAATCATATAAAAAGCGTTCCTCTTTAGCTCAATCTGGAGGGACTCGAAAATAAACCGTGTTACAGGTGCGATCGCTGCTGCCTCCGTCTTAATTTCTCAAAATTATTTGTAATAATTTCTGAATCCTTGGAGTCGCTGCTGGTTCCTGAACTAATCTCCTTAAACATTCACCTCTGGTTAAGAACATCAGAATTCAAAATGTGTGATATTGGAATGTAACTTAGTTATCATTTTGCTAAATCATTTGTGGCTAGCCTCTTCAAAGTAGAAATATGTCAGATTTTCATGTCATGTCCTCATTAAATGGCCCTAATATCTTAAAAAGCATTAATAAACCACAATTTTTTCTAATAATTCTTTTACTGAAAACAGTAATTCAGCCCAGATATCTTGTTCATTTCGATGTCTTGCCTTCCACCGTTTTACCAATCAGAAAGTCTGTGATCTGGGGCGCCAGAACTCACCGCGTCGAGTTAATCTCACCGGTAAAGTACCATGTGGCCGCAGAACTAAAAAAGGTCTCGCTATGATTCTCAGTTCTGTGACAAAACAAGGAATAAAATCAGGATTTCTATCGAGGTCTTTGTGAAAAAGTTATTGGTTATAGATTTCTCGTTGACAAAACTCTTGTCTATTCAGTTATCATGTTCTCAGCTGGATTCGTCTGTGTATCTGGCAACCTGAGTCAGGGAGAGCGCAGTACCACTTTTGGCCAGATGTTTACATATTGCTCCTTTAAACATGAATACACACATCTGTCAAAGACTTACGCACACAGAACCTGACTCCGGTGCAGAGGGATACATCGTGAACCACATACTACAGAACATTGAGGTAACATGGACCACAATCCTCTGCAAACGGGTTTTTATTGCACTAATTATAATGGGTAACATGGAACATACAAAACCTAAGGCTAATTTTACCGCTGCGTTCCGTGTGTCTGATAACATTTTAATTACATCCCAGGTTTACCCAGTCGAACGCTCAGACGAGGCCGTGATGGGGCGACAGCATGGAGTGTGGACCTCCATAACCCCTACTGGATTATGGGATGGCTCCGACTGTAGAATATTTAGATACAGGGCTGTGTCCCGCGAGGCCCCGGGCTCCAAATGACCCCCTCCTGCTTTAATTGCCTTTGCGCTGTGATTAAATGTGTATTGACTCTGCAGTTGGTCCAGCGATGAATAAGAATGTGCTGATTGGCTGATATGACATCTTCAGGCTCCAATTCACATCTGCTTCTACGTTTCAAAGACAGCAAGGTTCTGATGAAGGTTAAAAACATCAAAAATAAAATAAAATGGGTCTACTTATTGCAGCATTGAAATGTTTTGATTGGATGAAATTGAAATGAAACAGACACTGCACAAATACATCTAGCTTTTCAAATTCGCAAAATTGTTAAAAAATAAGTTAAGAGAACTATTTTTTTGTCCCACCGTGGGGAAATTTCAATGTTGCAGCGCATATACAGGACAAAATACACAAAATAAATCAGTAGCTATGCTTCTAAGCTAGCCGTAAATGCTTCTAATGAGCTTTGTAGTGAATTAAAGTGAGATTTTAAAAAATCTTTAAATCAATGCTTTTTACAACAACCGGAATCCATCTTTCATGTTGTAAACTTTTACTAATTGTTACACACAAGTACAGTATATTCAGTTCAATACCAATTACATGTATTCTTGTATAGCCCTAAATCACAGCAGTAGTCATCATTATAAAGAGAAGACACTGTGGAGAGCAGCTTCAGCGACAGACTTATTCATCCTCGCTCTGTGAAGGAGAGGTTCCGCAAGTCTTTCCTGAACCACATATATCACTGTCCCTTTGCTTTTCTTACTCATCTGAGCAATAATAACTTTAATAATGCCAGAATGTGCAATACTGAACCAGACGTGTCACTTTACTTTACTTGCACATTCTGACATTATTGCACAGATGAGTATTACTGAACCATACTGTCAATTTGTTTTCTCATCTGAGCAATAATAACTTTAATAATGTCGGAATGTGCAATATTGAACCACATGTGTCCAATGCAGCTCTACTTAGTCACTGTGTCCCAGAGCCTCATGCTGCTAACGTGTACAGATGCTAACATCTGTACACGTTAGCATCTGTACACGTTAGCATCTGTACACGTTAGCATCTGTACATGTTAGCATCTGTACACGTTAGCATCGGTACACGTTAGCATCGGTACACGTTAGCAGCATGAGGCTCTGGGACACAGTGACTAAGTAGAGCTGCATTGGACACATGTGGTTCAATATTGCACATTCCGACATTATTAAAGTTATTATTGCTCAGATGAGTAAGAAAAGCAAAGGGACAGTGATATATGTGGTTCAGGAAAGACTTGCGGAACCTCTCCTTCACAGAGCGAGGATGAATAAGTCTGTCGCTGAAGCTGCTCTCCACAGTGTCTTCTCTTTATAATGATGACTACTGCTGTGATTTAGGGCTATACAAGAATACATGTAATTGGTATTGAACTGAATATACTGTACTTGTGTGTAACAATTAGTAAAAGTTTACAACATGAAAGATGGATTCCGGTTGTTGTAAAAAGCATTGATTTAAAGATTTTTTAAAATCTCACTTTAATTCACTACAAAGCTCATTAGAAGCATTTACGGCTAGCTTAGAAGCATAGCTACTGATTTATTTTGTGTATTTTGTCCTGTATATGCGCTGCAACATTGAAATTTCCCCACGGTGGGACAAAAAAACAGTTCTCTTAACTTATTTTTTAACAATTTTGCGAATTTGAAAAGCTAGATGTATTTGTGCAGTGTCTGTTTCATTTCAATTTCATCCAATCAAAACATTTCAATGCTGCAATAAGTAGACCCATTTTATTTTATTTTTGATGTTTTTAACCTTCATCAGAACCTTGCTGTCTTTGAAACGTACACGATAGCATCTGTACATGTTAGCATCTGTACACGTTAGCACGTTAGTACAGATGCTAACGTGTACCGATGCTAACGTGTACAGATGCTAACGTGTACAGATGCT